CTTACCTCATCTGCTCGTACCCGGACCAAGCGGCTTTGGTACGATAGTCTAGGTCTGTGGCACGCACCTCATCCATCCATCCATTCGTCCGTCCCGCTCGAACCAATTACCTGGTTTTCGCTTCTTCGGATGGGACATACGGTAATGCTCAATGGGTGTGGTGGGCAGCCATTGGCCACGGTTTTACTTTTTTTTTTCTCTTCCTTTCTTCCATCCCCTCACCCTGCGAGTGTACTTGTAGGTTACTGACTGACTGACTGACTGATTGGTCGAATTGGAAGTTCTCTTCTCGCAAGAGGGGAAGAAGAAGAAAAGAAAAAAAGGAGTGATCATAAGTGAGGGAGGAAGTTGTTGGAGGGTTTGTTGGCCGGGCGTCAGGTTATCCTCCCCCCTTTCTACCTGAATAGCATACCGTAAGAACTCAAATACAAGAGAAATGTGCTAGGACGTTGGAATTCCCCTTCTCGACAAAGCGTGGGAAAACCACCGCAAACTCAGCCCTCAGCTAAGACAAAACAAAAGGAATATACACGGCGCCATACTAGGAGAGGCAACTGCAACGTCCTAGCACATTTCTCTTGTATTCGAGTTTTTACGGTATAGCCATACCCTTAAAGGCGAACCTCAGGTGTATTTTTATCCCAAATGTCCATGTAACTTCCAACCGCATATAATGGCACGATTTGATATCAATGGATGATGGATGGGGAGGAGTGTGGACAAGTCAGGGTTACCGAATGTGGGTATGATATCAGTAACCCTCTTCGCCCTCCTCCTCCTCTTCCTCCAAATGCTTGTCCATTCGAGTCCTGCGGGGTAGGTGGAAGTGGGTATGGCACGGTATCATGGGTAACATGGTACAAGGTGGAGGGGAACAGCGAACAGCCCTACAAGTACTGTACCAAATATGACGCTTGGTAGCAGAATACGTACTGTACTCGAGTATTTTGGTGGTATTGTTCGCCACCGCCCCGCCCCTCTGTTGGCGTTACCGGTACTCAGTTCCGGTACTTGAGCTCCGTACTGTACCGTATCTTTCCGCAAGAAAATAGGAAAAAATATGTCGTGTTGGAGCCTAAGGCAACCGAACCAATGGGGCGGTGACAAAGGCGATCGAATCGCCACGCTTGGGGAATGATGCCAGAAGAATCGAAAGGCAATTGGGCGTGGATCCGACTTTTTTTTTTTTTTTTTTTTCTCACCCCCTTCAAAAGGTATAGTACCCGCAGCCTACAAGTACTCGTACATGTACCGCACCGCCCTCCCGAAATCGGGTCATCATCATCATCATCATACAGTAAAAGAGGAAAACAGAAAAGAAAGAAAAAATACCTCCAGGAAAATTTGTTCCTTTCCGTCTGCTCCTCCGAAACGGAAAGGTTCGGTTACTCGTGCTCGTAACAAGCACAAAGTTACCCAATTGCACCGCAGTAACTCTTACCACAGGCCCGGCACAGCAGTTCTCGTACAGGTAGGTAGGTACTCGAGTAGGTAGGTACCGGTTTACGGTGCTGTACTGTACTGTACTGTACGGTACTTACGAGCACAATACACTAAATTCAGCCGCGGCTACAAGCACTTACAATTACATAAACCTGATACAAAAAAAAAAACCCCCAAATATGTCCAAAACCGAGTGAGAGGGTATGCCGATCGCACGTATCATGATACGACGGTTCTGTCCTCTTCTCGGGCGCGCGGCTCGGTATTGTATCATACACGTGTATAACCTAATATTAATATAGACTACCAAGCATAAGTCGGGTAAGTCAAACACCTATCATTCATCCCCTCCCTCCGTTCAGCTCGGTAACCGTGGAACCTGCTTCCTACGAGTTGGTTGGTCCATGTCTGGCTATTCTGGCTGGCTGGCTGGATGTATCATAACTAACTCACATATGATATTTTTAGGCGGAATTTTTCTTTTTTCCTTGCTTCTTCCTCTTCTCTTTCCCTTTTTTTCCTTTTTTTCCTATCGTATGGAGGGAGCTTTCAGCCCCGGGCCAAGAACGTTTTAACTGTATGCGAGGTTTATCGGGTTGATGTTTGCACAATAACGCTTTTTTTTTTCTTTCTTTTTTTTCTTTTTCCCACTTCGTGATGATTTGATGCAATACAGTGGACTACTGTATGTACCCGTACGTTCTGGTATCATGCTGGTGCTAATACAGTTCTTGTAGATCCAGACGGGCTTAAATCCTTTCTTTTTTTATTTTATTTTTTACCCGGGGCTGAATGATTCCTATCATGCTCATCATCATACTTGCTTGCTTGTATTTTGTGGCTGCGGTTGCTTGTGCTGTCAATACCGTACTGTGCTCCAGTTCATACGGTACGGTACTCGTACGTGGACTGGCTTGCTGCGGAAGGTGGGGGAAGGGACTAGGTATAATATCATACTAATAAAAGGAGAATCGTATTGTTCCATGGAGGGGTTTTTTTTCTTTTCTCTTCCTGAGGGGGCGCATACGCTACTTCGCTAGTGCCATTTGCGGTATGCTACGGTAGGGAAAGCTGTAAGTTAGGGATGTTTCCCCTGAGATTGCCGGTATATTACTTGCACGCACCTAACGAACCGGGAAAATAGAACTGGATTTGGTTCAAGAGAGGGAGAGCTTGCTTTGCCCCTCGAAATGGTACGGATGGGAAGACCGCGGATGTCTTACACGAGTAGTTTTCCTCACCCTTCTACCGCTACCATTGGGGATTGGGGGTTTTTTTTTTCTCGGCCTTCTGGATGGCGGCTACGGTGGGAAAGGAAGGGAGGGAGACGGAAGGATTAATTTCCTTTTTCTTCCGGTCCTTTTCTTTCACTCTATAGTCTCTTAATGATGGCGTTTATAATGCTTGGAAATGAGGATGGTAATTGGTGATCTTTATTGCATTGAGATTAGGTGATTTTCCATTTATGCACTCTTGAGATGTGTGTGCATATCTTGTGGTTGGTTGCCTTGAGTGGATACCGCAAGTGAAGTGCAGGGTGTGGGATGAAAACTACCGTCCCTGATGAAGTCACTTTCAGGGCTTTGTCGGGGCGATGCTCTGTGGATCGAGACTTGGCCTGCCGGTACTCGAGTATGAAGTGACCTCCCGTGCCGGTGGATCATCGTGGAGCGACTCTTCTCCCTTCCTCCCGGAGAAATGAGGAAAGAGAAAAAAGACTTTTCCCCGAGAACCTGTTGTGAAAGGAGTACTTGCACGGTACCGTCCCCTACTCGAGCAGTGGATGAGGTGCACTCCGCAAATTGGCCGTGTCTTCGCCCCTCCCCGACTAAAGTGGCGATTTTATCCAACACGAGTGTGCCAGGGGGGATGTTTTCGCACAGGCCAGCGGAATGGTACCTTTTTCGGCAACACACCACCCACTTTCGGGTCTCGAACAATGGTGTGGTGTGGGATATATTTATTGTGTGATTTGTCTGCATGGGAACGGCAACTGGAGATCGGAAGTGCACAAAAAGATTAAAAATTATCACTTTCTCTCTCTTGCGCTCTTGCTTGGCCCTTGTGGTTGTACAAAATTTAGTACTGTACGAGTTCTCCTCGGTCTGACCTTATCCGTTGCAAGCACTCGCAGTTAGCGGCATGATACGAGTACTTTATTATCATCCCGCCGAGTGGGCAGAAGGAATGAGAGAGAGCTCTCCCCTCGTGCTCGAACGCTTGGGAGGGTAGGATTTCTAGGTCTGCGGGAGCTGGCGGGTTGTGCTGTCCACCAGTGTGAGCTGTGAAGGGGAGCGCGCGTGAAGTGCACAAGGTGTGGCGGAGAACTCATGTGTTCGAAGCGACACGGGGGAGGAGGTTCCCTAGGCCTTTGGCGTGCGGAGAATAAACCGAACCTAGAAGGATGTGCGAGTGTACTAGTAAGTTTGGTACTCGAGTACCGGTATGGTTTTGTTGTCGACCGCTGGGCAGGAGGATTGCTGATGGTGCTTGCATCAAAGCCGTCAGCCTCCGGGTGCCCATGAGAGGCTGGTGAAGGGTGTTAACCTGGGTTAAGCTGCGAAATACGGTAGTCCTTGCCTTGCAATAAAAAAAAAGGTCCCGGGGTATCATACTTGAAGAGGTGATTGATACTTGTAGGTGGTGCTATTACTGGATACGATAACTCTCGGCAGGGGGTGGTGATGCTAATGTACCGTAGCTTACCCAGTAGATGGCCGATGCCTTATCCTTGGCTTCAAGATGTCGTTCGCTTAAGACGTGATGGGTGGGTGAGTGATGGCCCTTTCTGATTGGGTGGGTGAGGCTGTCCAGAAGCAGCGGAGCGGAGGCAATCAAGGTACGAGTATTATAGCCTGAGAGATGTGGTTCCGGCTGCCCCGAGGGATGTTCGCAGTGTGGGCACGGTTCACGGCGGAATCGACCCTGGGACCTCAGTTGCTTGTTCTCGCCGAATGCCATCCTCCTTCAAGGGTTGCCCCTTTTGCTGGGGCTGTACTAGTACTCGAGTACTGGTAATGTACTGGTGCAGCGTTCTGATTATTTTTCCTGCCTCTCTCCCTGGTTTCTGGACCTCTCACTTGGGCTAGCTCGGGCATGGAGGTCGTGGAGGGATGTCTGGGAGTTCCACCAAGCTAAGCACCGCAGGGGAGGGGGATGACATGAATGGGAGCATACTGTGCAAGTACAAGCACTCTAGCATCATACATGTACAGTACCTGTAGAATTGGGAGCAACTTTCCGAGATGGGGGATGGTCTGAGAGACACAAACGTGGGTCGGAAAGTACTATTGCGTTTCGAGTTGTCTTTTGACTGGTCTCCTGCCCCTTGGCCCTATTCTTGCCCTTGTTCTTGCCCTCTCTTCCCGCCCAAGAGGTTATCATCCGCAGCGTTTGTACAGTTACAGTGCTTGCATGTATCCTTACGCCTGACATAGTTGTGCTGTGCTCGCGGGACAAAGTGCTGTGCGATACGGCACTGTACGAGTGCAGAACCGCAAGTTCACCACTTATTATACTTACCCCCCCCCCCCTCCTCCCCTCCTCCACAACTAGCTAGACCCTCGTTCTCCCAATCAGCCAGTTCAATTAGTGCGGTGGTGACTTGCGCACCTTCTGCTCGGGTGTTCCTGTCCCGTTGATCGACTTCCCTTCTTCATCTGCTTTTGCTTGCCCACCCCCTCCCTCCCTTCTCCCAAAAAAAGAAGCAATACTTCTTGCTTGCTTTCCTCCCTGCTGTTGCTCACTTGCTCCGCAACCTTTGCTTCACTTTCTCTTCATCCACAATATCCGGGGATATTTTCCTCCTCCCACGTTCGTTCCATTTTTTTTCTTCTTCTCTCCCTCCCTCTTCTCTAACCCTCTCTCAACACACACCGCTTGCCCTCGTTTTGGTCGGTGTTGCTGGGGAATTCTTCGACTGGGCTTCCATCAATCGTTGTTCCTAGGGCTTCCGGGTAGTGTGTGCTCGTGCTGGTACGTGTGACCTCCTTTCTGTTTTGCTTGCGTTATCCGGCAATTCTTCTCTTGAATTGCCTTCTTGCTTCTGGCTTTGCCTCCCTGCAGGTCAGCGGAACGGCCTTGTATCCAGAAACACTCTGTGCTACGCCTTTCTATCATTGCCCTCTTTTCAATTGTCGGGTAGCATCTGAGGTACTGTCGTTAACGATTTCTCCCGATAGCTATTCGCTCGTTTCGGGTACTCAGCCAACCTCACCCTCCTCGCACACTCTGTAAGAGCCGGGAACTGCCTGAGCTGTCACGGATTGAATAATTTATCGCCGCGGTTCTCTCGCTTTTTCTTTTTCTTTTTCGCTTTCGGGAGTATCTGCCAGCAACCCCCGCCATAAATCATCCGGGCTCTCCCTGGTCGAAACGCTCCTTGTGCGCTTCACCTTTCTTCTGTTGAGTTAGTCAAACACTCAAACGACACTTCAGGGACGGGGTTCGTTGCCGTTCGTGGACAAAGGAATCTCTGACGACAACCACGTTACCGGTTGTGGATTGTCTGGGCGTCTCGCCAGTCGGAGGCATCAAAACACCGGCCTCGCCCACCTTTTTGAAGGGGGCGTTGGTACCTGAATTAAAAACCCCGGATCGAAAGAATATTCTCCGGTAATAATTTTTGCGAAAGAAAAAAAAAAACTTAATTCCAGTCTCTCGTTTAGCAGCGTTTTCTTTCTTTCTTTCTTTCTTTTCTTTACAGCATCCTACATTCGCACTCTCGTTGACTTCCGGATAACAAAAGTTCAAGCGGTTAATATTAATTTTTTTTCAACATGGTGAATGCGGATGGGGTTCCTGATTTGACGGACCCATGGGCTGTCTCTGAGGTAAATGGTCCTCTTGGTGGCTTTTGGTGAGCTGAGGTTGCTTGGTACTGACTGATACTTGGTAGATCGTATATTGTTCGATCATGGGTGCGGTCATGTTGGCAGCTCTGCTGGAATGGTTCTTATGGCTGGTACGGGATCCTATGCCTGGGATATAGAGGGGTTTGATGCTAAAAACCGGATAGGCTGCTTTCTTGTACTGTCTGGTTAAGGTGTTCCAGAAGGCCGATACATGGCACATTCGGGTTCTCGCCGTTCTCATGATGCTCCTTTTCACTGCTTTCCGGTGGGTTTGCATCCATATTTTTGGAGCGGCTGATGGGTTGGATTCTAACATATCGTTTTAGTTGCATCTTCTTGCCGGTAATGGTCGTCACCCTTCCTCTCCCCCCTAGGATCACGGTTCTCTTCCCCATTGCCATGGTCAACTTCCTGCAGTGGTTTGCATTCTATTCGTTTGCCGCCCTCTTGACAATTCCGTGGCTCTTCTGCGTCTACCAGCTTGTCACCAACAGTCTTGGTAGACATCGCCGTATCAAGTCGGTGTTGGACGAATCGAGCGCACCGAAGGTCGTGATTGTTATGCCGGTTTATAAGGAGATTCCCGAGGTCTTGTTGACTGCCATTGATTCGATTGTCGACGGAGACTATCCTCCATCATGCCTACACATTTTCTTGTCATTCGACGGAGACGAGGAGGATGAGTTGTATCTCAAGACGATTGAGAGCTTGGGGGTTCCGCTCTCCCTCGACAGCTATCCCCACAGTTTGGACGTTACCTACCGCGGCACTCGTATCACTGTTTCTCGCTTCCCTCACGGAGGAAAGCGGCACTGTCAGAAAAGGACCTTCAAGCTCATCGACAAGATTTATACTGAATACCTTAAGAGAAATGACAACTTGTTCATCCTTTTTATCGACTCTGATTGTATTCTGGACAAGGTCTGCATTCAGAACTTTGTGTATGAGATGGTGAGTCTGGATTCTGGATTACTCCCCCGAAAATTCCAAACCGATTCCTGGGCGTGGCCAAGGACTCTTTAAACCCTGATTTTCAGCCTAAAACTCGATTTGATTAGGTTTTGCTCCGGTTTGCTGACCCCGATTCTCTGTTTCACAGGAGCTCAAACCTGGCAGTAAGCAGAACATGTTGGCTATGACTGGTGTTATCACATCGACTGCCAAGAAGCAGTCCTTGATTACTCTACTACAAGACATCGAGTATATCCACGGTCAGCTCTTTGAGCGGTCGGTGGAATCAGCCTGTGGTTCTGTTACTTGTCTTCCTGGCGCGCTCACCATCTTGCGATTTTCTGCCTTCCGTAAGATGGCCAAATACTACTTTGCGGATAAAGCTGAACAGTGTGATGACTTGTTTGATTACGGAAAATGTCACTTGGGCGAGGATAGATGGCTCACCCATCTTTTCATGATTGGGGCCAAGGAGCGATATCAGATCCAGATGTGTACCGGTGCTTTCTGTAAAACGGAGGCTGTCTTGTCCTACAGGAGTTTGCTCAAACAGCGACGAAGATGGTTCTTGGGTTTCATCACTAATGAGGTTTGTATGTTGACGGACGTTCGTCTTTGGAAGAGATATCCGATTCTCTGCGTCGTTCGATTCATGCAAAACACCATCCGTACCACTGCCCTTCTGTTTTTCATTATGGTACTCTCGCTCTTGACAACAACCCAGAAAGTCAGTCAACTTCCCGTTGGCTTTATCGCTGTATCCTTGGGATTAAATTGGGCTCTCATGTTCTACTTTGGAATTAAGCTTAAGCGTTTTAAGGCTTGGTTGTACCCCATGATGTTCATCCTCAACCCCTTTTTCAATTGGGTATATATGGTCTATGGAATTTTCACCGCTGGTCAACGCACATGGGGGGGGCCGCGTGCAGATGCTGGTACTGCCGATGATACCAAGACACCGCAACAGGCGATCGAGGAGGCCGAAGCTAGGGGCGATGACCTCCAGGTTGTCCCGGAGACTTTCCGGCCTGCTGCCGAGCAGCAAGCCCAGAACAACCAAGTCCGCCAGCGTATTCCGGTTCACCCCGATGGCAGAGTTGAAGGACGATTTGCAGCTTCAGAGAGACTTCCCGGTGGATACTACAATTATAGCAACGACTCTATGGGCACTCTTCCGGACATCGTTCCTCGCAATCCCAACGCTCCCCAGATTCCGCTTCACCCCCGTGCCTCGTTCGACAGTTTCGTCTCTGGGACAAGTACTACTGCCGGGAACTCGGTTTATTTCCCAAGGAGAGTTGAGAGTATCATGGGTGAGGAGGATCGCAGAAAGTACCTCGTGGCGCAGTCGAATCAGCGTGAGGCTGGAGGCGCATACATGGTTGAGCCGAGGAAGGAAGCATTTGAGTCTTCGGAATTAGATGTTTATGGGTACAAAAATGCTGTGAACGAGTCGAGTGATTCCATCGACTCTGTTGGAAGTGCCGGTAATGGATATCACAACAGAAATAGCAGCAACAACCAACACAATTATAATCAGCCAGTGAGCGGATCGACTTCACCAACCAACCCCAACGCTCCCAATAATGCGGCTCAGGACCAGGCTAGTCACTTGGCCATTCCTGAGCCCGCCCATCGTCCTCAATCGATAGGCACCAATGGCCGCGGTACGAGTGCTGCGCGTAGTCCGCTCGCCCGACTAAGCTTGGTCAGGACGGCTGATGGCGAGGGAGGTGATCAGGGTGTAGAAATGACTGCTACTCCTGGTTCTCCCTCCGCTCCTCCCTCCGCTCCTCCCGCCGATGCTGCTGCTGATGATGATCGGGAAGGGCGGTCAAAAGAAAGGAAGAAGCTCACAAAGAAGCCAAATCGTTCGTCCAAATGATCGACTTGTGTTTTCTATAGCTTTTCTTAACGGGTTTCACGGTTTTCCGCTTTCTCCTTGGTGTTTTTATGATTGTACAAAATAATTGGTTTCGCTTGATAAATACTGTTAGCAATAATTGGGGGGCAGAAAATGTGGCTACAGGCTGCGCTTTCTCGCATCAGAAAAAGTTATCGGTGCTTTTAGGTCATTTTTTCATGATTGCGAATTTGTTTTATGTGCGTTTCTTCTATAGTTTTTTTATATAGTTTTTTTTCTCTTTTTCTTGCTTCCGGTTTTCATTCATTCATTCATTCATTTCCAGTTAGTCTTGTTCCGACGTCTTGGTATGCTGTGATATACCGATGTACGAAAGAACAGGAGGATGGGATATGACATAACATGCTTATATTCTTAGCGTGGCAGGAGGTTTGTTGCATATTTGTCTTTTGATACCATTTCTGATACTTATTCTTTTCCTGCTGCCGTTCATATTTCCTTTTCTCTCTTCCAGTTTGTTCATGCATGACGGAGAGGGTGTCCAACCAGTGTCGATAATGAGTTGCTTTTCTTAATTCTCCCCACGTGCAACTCTTCGCAGACACCACTATCTATCGTTTTCACTTGCTTGCCCCCCTGTTTCCTTTTAAAGTATATAAGCTGAGTCGGGGAATTGGTTGTGGGGTGCTGGATCGGAGTTTATGGTACCATTGTGGAAGATGGGGTACATTTTAAATGAATGGTGGCAAAAGCCTTTGGTTATTAGGCCCCTCCAATTTCTCCCTGACTGCTGGTGTGTATCGTAATTGAAGACCTACCCCGATGCATGTTTATGCATCACCACGCACGGGTACTATCGATCAAAGTGCTGTTTTTTTCTTCTCAAGCTACTCATAGTTGTGCTGATTATTGCTTGGCTGGGTATACTACCGTGCTTTACGGTCCAGACACGTGGTAAGGATCCGACGTAATAATTGTACAAGTACAATAGACTACGAGTACTAGCTGACCAGGACGAATGGTTTCTGCGAGGTTCTACGGGTCTACTCGTTATGATAAGGTGTTGTGTTTTGTGTGGTACGGCACGGTATGCTAGGATCGTAGTAGCGGAAAGGACACCAAAGCGCGGTTCCATCAGGCCTTTTTTGGACCAGGGCTGTCATATCACTGCGGTCTCTGCAAGAGTATGCTATCATGATACCGATCCTGCAGCCAGTGCCCGTACGAGCAGGGCCGGTCCTGAACCCGGGCTCTACGATACGATAGGAATTGGAGAATAATGGTGTTGTGATAGAAGGGCTATGATGCCGGTATCGTATTACATAGACAATTTCCGGGTAAGGGCTAGATCGAGTCATGTGACTTGGTTTAAAGAGGTCTTTCTTCTTTTTCTCCCCCCCTTACTGGTTTGGCTGGGTACTTGTGATCGTAACGTTTGTTTATATATATAATAAGAAGTCTGTGGATACCCGGGGCACAAAGGAATGGGTATTTCCCGGCTACCCGTGGGCCGGAATGCTGCGTTTTCGATGCTTTCTTGGACAGGACAGGACAATGGTATCATATCATGGGTAGAGAGAGGCGTGCCGGGTGGGGTGGGGGTATATGGGAGGGAAATGTGTGCTCAGACGGGTATGGTATATGTATCCAACAGCAGTAGGGAACCCCCCCCACATCATCACCGCACGGGACTCGTTGGGGGGAGAGAATTCCTGGGCTGGGCTGCAATCGGTCCAGGGCACTAAATTTTTCGGGCATTATACGAGGAAAGGGCGGAATGGAAACAGAAAGAGAAGGCATTTTAGGCCAAAGGGGGGAAAGGAAAAAAAAAAAATAAGGTGAGAGAATTCGTTGGGCTGCGAGGTTGATAGAAGATTTGAGAAATTGCTAGAAGGCCCTGGATATGCCAAGACTTAGCAAGGTTAACAGCTTAAATAAAAAAGCATGAGGCTGTGATAACAACGCAGCAACCCAACTTTCTCAACCCCTCCCCCTCTTCTCAATTCGAACTTTTTTTTATTTTTTATTTTATTTTTCTTCTTTTCGCTGTAACCAAAGGGCTTACACAACCACCGGTGATACTTCACTACCACTCAAGTTCCCGCTTCCACCAAAAGTTTCCCCCCAACCCCATATCCTTGAGATCGGATTTCTTCTTTCTCCCCTCAATTTTCTCCCCTCCCTGCTTCCTTTTTGCTGCATCCTTCCAGGAGTTCATCTATATACCTCTCACGTTTGCAGTCTCCCTATAGTACCTTCAAACATCTCACTACTGCTGGCCCTAGATAAAGAGGCCTCCTTTTTTTTTTTTTTTAAAAAAAAAAGGGAAAAAGTCGAAAAGAAAGAGAAAGGAGCTCTCGTCTTTCTCCATCCGTTCCTAGAATAATTGATAAACGGAGATACAATCTTCCTTTTCTTCTTCTTTCCTTTCCCTCTTCCTTTATAGAAGAAATACCAGAGTTTTACCAATCATGTCTGTCGTCGGAGTCGACCTCGGAGCGCTCAATACTGTGATTGCGGTGGCTAGGAATAGGGGTGTTGATGTTGTGAGTATTGGTTCTTTTCTTCATCCTTCACTTTCATCTTCTCTCTCATGGTGGGGCCAGGTGAAATCTTGCGATCGATAAAAAGAGGAGATTTGGGACTGACGCTTCTTTTCCAACCCGTAGATCACCAATGAAGTATCTAACCGTGCAACACCGTCAGTCTACCCCCCACCATTCTTATTGACCTTCATTTCACCTACCCTTTGTCCCCGGTTTCGTCTGGGGGATTGCTTTCTTGCTTGGTGATGGGTTTACTGAATATTCGATGTTTAGCTCGATGGTTGGGTTCGGTCCCAAGAGTAGATACCTAGGTGAAGCGGCAAAGACCCAAGAGATTTCGAACCTCAGGAACACCGTCTCCGGACTCAAGCGTCTTGCCGGCCGAAGGTTTGGTGAGCCGGAACTCGACATCGAGAGGCAGTTCGTCTCAGTAGATCTCGTCGAAGCGAAGGGTGGTGAAGTCGGTGCTAGAGTAAAGTACCTGGGTCAGGATGAGGTTTTCACGGGTACCCAATTGATTGCGATGTTCTTGTCCAAGGTTAGGCAGACGGCATCGGCGGAACTCAAGCTCCCAGTCTCGGATGTCGTGCTTAGTGTTCCTCCTTGGTTTACCGATGCTCAGCGTCGTAGTATCATGGATGCTGCCGAAATTGCTGGCTTGAAGCTCCTCCGGTTGATGAACGATACCACTGCCACTGCTCTCGGCTATGGCATTACCAAGACCGATCTCCCGGCCGGTGAGGAGAAGCCCCGCCGTGTTGCATTTATCGATATCGGCCACAGCAATTATACTTGCTCCATCGTTGCTTTCAAGAAGGGCGAGTTGACTGTTTTATCTACCGCTTACGATAGGCATTTTGGTGGACGGAATTTCGATAAGGCACTCATCGATCATTTCGCAAAGGAATTCAAGGAAAAGTACAGGATTGACGTCTACACCAATCCTAAGGCGTACTTCCGTGTTGCTGCTGGTGTCGAAAAGTTGAAGAAGATTCTTTCGGCAAATGCTCAGTCTGTGTTGAATATCGAGTCTGTTATGAACGACGTTGATGCTTCATCAATGCTGAAGAGAGAGGAGCTCGAGGAACTTGTCATGCCCCTTCTCGGTCGTGTTACTGTTCCCTTGGAGCAGGCTCTTGCGGATGCTGGTTTGTCGAAGAGTGATATTGACGCAATCGAGCTAGTTGGTGGATGTACCCGTGTTCCATCGCTGAAGGACAAGATCGCCGACTTCTTCGGAAAGCCGCTATCCTTTACTCTCAACCAGGACGAGGCTGTAGCACGCGGATGCGCTTTCGCTTGCGCTATCCTCTCGCCGGTTTTCAAGGTTAGGGACTTTTCCGTGCACGATATCGTCTCATACCCTATCGAGTTCACTTGGGAGCAGTCAAACGATATTCCGGACGAAGATACTAGCCTTACTGTTTTCAATAAGAATAATGCCGTCCCATCGACTAAGATTCTTACCTTCTACCGCAAGGACCCCTTCGACTTGGAAGCCAAATATGCAGAGCCCAACAAGCTTCCGGGAGCCATGTCCCCATGGATTGGGAGGTTCTCCGTTAAAGGCGTGAAGGCAGATTCCAAAAATGACTTTATGATTTGTAAATTGAAGGCTCGTGTTAACCTTCACGGAGTCCTGAATGTTGAGAGTGGATATTGGGTGGAGGAGGTTGACGTGGAGGAGGAGATCAAAGAAGAGGGCGATGTGAGTTTAGCCATTTCTAGTCAAACAAGTGCCCTGCACTCCTCCCCTCCTATCGGTTTTGAGGAAACTCGGGATTTATCGAGTCGCCAGCATCATCCATCTGCTGCTTCCGGTGGCCCCCCGCCGCCCCGCAAACGCGTTAAAATGGCCGATGATCTGTTACTGACTGGGCAGCAGGCTATGGAGACGGATGAAAATGTCAAGCCTAAGACATGTAAGGTTAAGAAGCAGGTTAAGGGCGGTGATTTGACGGTTCTCAGCACCACAGCCACCATCGACCAGACTCTTAAGAACATCTATATGGAGCGCGAAATCGAGATGGTCATGGAGGACAAGCTGGTTGCTGACACCGAGGATCGCAAGAACGCGCTCGAGGAGTACATCTACGAACTCCGGGGCAAGCTTGACGATCTTTACTCTAAATTCGCTTCCGAGGACGAAAAGAGCCAGCTCAGATCTATCCTAGATGATGCCGAGGTTAGTTTCCTGCCCCCACCCTTTCCATCCCCACTATACCGAGATCGGTTAGATACTAACAGTGCTATAGAACTGGCTCTACGAAGAGGGTGAAGACACCTCCAAAGCAATTTACGTCTCCAAGATTGAGGAGCTTCGTTCTCATGCCGGCCCCATCGCTCAACGCTACTTCGATAGAGAGGAGGAGAAGCGCCAGGCAGAAATAGCGAAGCAACAGGAGGAATACGCCATGAGAAAAGCCCAGGAAGATATGGCTAAAAGGCGTGAGGGAGGAGATAACGATAGAATGGATACGGATAAGGCTTAGATTCCTTGTTTATTTTTTTCTTTATTCATTCTTCATGTTTTCACCTTTCCCCTGCTTCTCTTGTCCTTTTTATTCTTCTTTCTTCTTAATAGCCTTCACGCTCACTATCCTCATCATCCTACCGCTTCTCCTTTCATCTAAAACAACTTTATTCCTTCCTCTTAGTATTCTTGTGAAGCTTTTGTTGGCCTTGAGGTTTTGGGGGGATCCATGCGAGTCAATTATTGAATCCCTTACTTTACACCATGATAAATTTTAGGGGAAGAAGAAGAAAAGAAGCGCAAAGGCTCGTCCTTGTTGGCTTTGATTTGTCTGGCTCGCTTTCTTTGGTAGCGGTTAATGAATCATTTATCTTTCCTACTTCCAGTTTCTCCTGAAAAGAAAGGGCTGGAATTGCCTAGCTGGTCGGTAGCATTGGATTTATTTCTTTCCAAAAATTACATTTTTCTTCCCTTGAGAAGGGCGAGGCGGAGGAGGGGGGTGTTGCGATGTGATGTGATTGGTATTCATTTCCCTTTTTTTGCTTCATTTCGTTTGAGCGGGTTTAGGAGGGAGGGAGGGAAGGAAGGAAGATGGGATGGGATGGGATGGGAAGAGGGATGGACGATTACGGGACATAAATGAAATAGATGTGATACATATTTTTATTTTATTTCCTTATTCATTGCTGCTGTCTAAGTCCGGCGTGATTGGCACGATTGTGCTGTGGATGGTATTCTGTCGGTATGTCCCAGTGGTAATTTGGAGATTACAGTACTGTACAGTACGCTGGGGGCCAAGTAGGAATCGGGGAATCCTTTCTCTTGCTCAGTGTGTCTTTGGAGGTAGAGGGTTTGTTTTCTGGCGCTTTTTGGTGACTTGGGTGTTGGTGGGAATGGGACTGCATGTGGCAGTTGGTGTTATCGGAAACTAGAATACGGTATGGTATGTATGGTAGCCATGGTGGAGGCCTTCCGGCCTTTTATATCTGCTCCGCATGCAGTTACGTTATTAGACTTTCTCTCTCACCATTTCATTCTCATCTTTTCACTCTCTTTTCCTGTTCCACCACCCTACCCCGGGGAAAGTCTTTGTGCCCGCCACGAGGTGCGAGGAACCTCCCCTTTGGAGTATGGCTCCTGTATAGGAGGATTTCGTGATCGTACGAGCACACTTAGAACTGTCTTCCTGTGCTTGGGTTGGTTTGGGTTTGCGCCTAATATCCCACTGCTATTCCAGTTGGGTTGGGAGCATAGCCGGTGTTGTATGCCACCTAGAGTAGATCCGGGATCATTGCGTGGAATCCCCTATAGCGTGGTGTTGGAGATGTTTTACGGTCCTCGAGTGTAGATACGTTAGTAATTGAAACGGAGATAACATCGCAGCGTCCGTGTAATAAGGCTCAGTGGAGCGTTTCGACTAAGTTGAATGTCTTTGTATCCCCGAGGAAGACGGATTTGGGGGGTGGGGGGGGGGGGGTAGTGAATATTGATGATTGGCGGATCGTCCCAAGCTCCGTTTGAGAGTATCGGGGTCTTCTGTTGATAGGGTATGGTATTTGTAATGTACTGGTACAGTACACGCGATTTAGGACGTTCGCAGGGCGCTCCATTTGCTCTGCAATTAGCCCTCAAGGCATTTACCAATACCTGTCTGTATCCCCAAGTGCGTCACGCCACCACCACTACCAAGGCTTCCAATACAGCAGAATGTAATCCAAAGGCTTCGATCACTATACAACAAGGCTCCAGGCGGGTCTCGGGAAAGTCCCAAGGTGGTTATTTCCGATTGGACTTAGAGTTGTGCTGCCAGCTGTTAAATGGGATCAACATCGAGTAATATGCACCTTTAAAGCCTCCCGGATCCGGATCCAAGGACCCAGTGCAAAGGACCAGGGTTAATGACATATTATCGTTCCTACATTGTCAAAGTCCGTACCCCCGCGATAAGTAATTCAATAGCAAACACGGTGCTCCACGGTAACCCCATACCTATACCCGCCACCCACCTAGTAGACTTGAGCGGAGCTCCTGCTGAGATGCTAGAGTAATCGATTCCCTTTGTATTGTAGTTAGTACAAGTAAATCCTAAGCACAATATAATACAGTAATAATAGCACAGAATTACAAGGCCGTACTAGTACCAGATACCAGTACTATGTATGTTGACCTCTTTTTCCTATGAGGAAAATTTCTCATCTTGTGCCCCCAGCCCAGCAGCATTCCAAAAAACACGGGACGACGACTTTGAACGCCAACTGCCGAGGATCCGGCCGGCACCGCGACGACGTGCTTATGCACGTTAAAAAAATTGACCAAAAAAAATAAACAGGCAGCCACCCGGTACACCGCAACCTAAACATAATACCGATGACATCAATCAAATCTTGGTGATGCGTACCGGTATCTGTCCACTTTAGTTAGGATGAAACGAACAGCAGATGCGCAGGATGGGATAGGGAAAATATTTTCGAATTCTGTGATCATGACCTTGATGATTGGATTCGTCTCCCGTTCTCTCAGGCACATGGTACCAAGCTGAGACTGATGGAGGGTCTGTCTGAGAACCCCAATGCTATCTATGAGGGAAAAAAAGAAATGGAGGGAAAAAAAATGTTTACCGGGAGAGTGGCGTTGAATTGAGAGGGGCGGATGATAAGGAAGAGAGAGAAAAAAAGGCTGGACCGGACGAGGGGTGATTGCTGTATGACCCAACACAACGGATGGAGGGGTAAATGGGTTCGGAAACGTAAAAATGAAAAGACTGATTTTTGGTGTGAGGTAAGGCGGTATCGTCCAAATACGCTATCGAGGAACGTCGCAGAGGTTTCCCCCATACTATCTCTGCGGGCTTGGGGGAATGCAGGCTGGAAAGGGGAAGGGGAATTCAAGCAAACCTTCAATTCTGGGGAGAGAAGCCCCCTTATTATATTAAGAGGTTCTTGGGCCGAGGATATTCCGGACTGGCACTTCAGTGTGGTGTTTTTCCGATGCATTTTCGTATAAAGAGCGAACCTATTGTATCGGGGGTTACCGAGTGCCCGCACTTTCCACGAGGAAATATGTAGGGTCGAGTATGGCAATGGTGAGAGATATGGTCAGACAATTTGTCTCATCTTATGCCAATGTTTTCATAAGTGCTCTCAACGTCACCTTGAATAAAAATCCACATCTGGGGGGGTGAGGCGTGGAGAATGAAAACTCGCCGGCAGGGGTTGCGAGAGAGTGTGAGAGGGAGATAGTGAGAACAAGTGAGAGTGAGGGCTCGGCCCCGTGCGGTGGTTGTTTGATAAATACTTGAGTCCTCTCTACTCCTACTGCCCCCCTCCTTCTCTCTCTCCTCTCTCCCCCTCTCAGCCCTCGCGGTATCACTCTAATTCCATCACTACTCCGCTTTTTTCCCCAAATCCTCTGCTTGTTTTACCCCTCCAGTAAGTGCATCATACTTCCTTACTTTTTTCCCTTTCGGAATCGCTTGCAATGATCTGAGCCCCTTTCTCGTCACGTCCCCCCCAGCCGGTTCCCTAACTCTTTATCATGATACTGATAAGATATATTAGAGTCTCAATTAAAAATGGTCGTTTCTGTTGGTATCAAGTACGCCTTGAAACTCTTCCCATGATTGGGTCGGGGGCGGTGCTAACAGTTATTTTTCTAACTTCAGCGGCTTCGGTCGTATTGGACGTCTTGTATGTTCACCCTACTAATCCTTCGGTTATTCCCCATTCGTAGATATTTTTTCTACTGGATGGGTATTTCTGGCTTACTTCTTATGTGGTGAATAGGTCCTCCGTAATGCGTAAGTTTTTACCCCACCATTTTTTCTCTTATCGCTGCAACTTTATCTGCGGGGCAACTTGCCGGATCCTCGTGGCCCAAAAAAAGAAATTATTCTAATTACTACAACCAACGAAACAGCTTCGAACACGACGACGTCGAGGTTAAAGCTATCAATGATCCCTTCATTGACCCAAAATATGCGGTAAATATTTCACCTTCTCAGTTGAAAGCTCTAGGGCTCGGTTCAAATAAGCAATATCTGACAATGTCTTGGCCCCTTAGGTCTACATGTTCAAGTACGACTCTGCCCACGGAAACTTTAAGGGAGAGGTTAGCACCAACGAGGCCGGGGACCTGGTTGTCAATGGAAAGGCTATCAAGATGTATGCTGAGAGGGACCCCACCAATATCCCATGGGGAGCCGCCGGTGCCGAATACATTGTTGAGTCTACTGGTGTTTTCACTACTACCGACAAGGCCAGCGCTCACTTGAAGGGCGGTGCTAAGAAGGTTATCATGTTTGTCCTCCGGTGATCCACGATATATATCAGAAGTTGTAGCTAATGCGAACCTGTAGTTCGGCTCCTTCTGCCGACGCTCCCATGTTCGTTGTTGGCGTAAACCTGGATAAATACAATAAGGGTATTACCGTTCTCTCTAACGCATCCTGCACCACCAACTGCCTTGCGCCCTTGGCCAAGGTGTTGAACGACAAATTCGGTATCGTTGAGGGTCTTATGACTACTATCCATTCCTACACCGCTACCCAGAAGACCGTTGACGGCCCCTCGGCCAAGGACTGGCGCGGTGGGCGTACTGCTGCTACCAATATCATCCCCAGCAGCACTGGTGCCGCCAAGGTGAGAAAAGAAACTATCTGCAAACCCGTCTAGAACAAGCTATATGCTCAAAAATTTCCTTGTAGGCTGTTGGTAAAGTCATCCCGGAACTCAACGGAAAGCTCACTGGAATGGCCATGCGTGTTCCAACTCAGAATGTTTCCGTTGTGGATCTCACGGCTCGTCTCGATAAGGGGGCCACTTATGAACAAATCAAAGATGCTATCAGGGAGGCAGCTAATGGCCCCCTCAAAGGGATCCTTGCTTACTCGGAGGACGAGCTTGTCTCCACTGATCTTAACGGCCACAGCGCCTCATCTATCTTTGATGCCAAGGCGGGCATCTCATTGAACAACAACTTTGTCAAGGTTATTAGTTGGTACGATAACGAATGGTAAGTCCAAGCACGCTATCAGTTTGTTGCTATTCCTGTTTCCCTGTCACAAGAGCTAACTTTCTGTAGGGGATACTCTCGCCGTGTCCTGGATTTGATCTCCTATATCGCTAAGGTTGATCAGCAGTAAAGGTCTCACAACGGTCTTAGGCAGAGGAAATTTCATTTTTTCATTCTTCTAATACCAAGTAAAAATAGAACAAAGGCGACTTGACCAGTCCTCTGCTCTGTTTCTCCTCTTCCTTCCACAATTGTTCTGTGAAAATCCAGACATTGCGTAGGTGGTGTCAAACTCCCCACGCTATCCACAAAGACTGTCACGGCACATCCCTCATCTTCTATTTCGTGATCCCTTGGATAAGAAGTTCAAACCCAGAGAGTGATGCCACCCAAATATACTTCCGGGTTTGTCATGCTAGGTTGGCTACTGATGGGTTAGATAATAGGGCCGGAGTAAAACGGGCAGTGGAAGGAAGGATGGGTATCGGTTCTCTAGTCAAATATCAAATCAGCACTTTTCATGGCCTCACCCGTGTGCCCGGATTTCAGAGTCAGGTCTGAGATGATTCGTAGGTATGATAGCCAGTAGGCGAGATTACCCCCGTATATGAGCTCGCCCCCGCCTCCTTCGATCATGGCACAGACTCTGGACCGGGTGACCAGTTCCTGATCGCACGAGGTCACATACCGGCAATATCTACCGAGTTGTATGGGCCGATGATAGACGATGCAATTCTCCTCGTGGCATGCAAACTCAATACGATTTGTGATAGCGTGGACGATAGATGGGGAGGCTTCCATCCATATATACCTATAGTACACCGCATGAATTATTCCACCGAAAGAATCATAAGCCCAAACATTCTTCATCAAACAACTTCTCCCCCCACCCCTTCTTCGAGTACCTCAAACACCACCTCTGTCCGCGGCGCTCATCGGAATCCCTCCCGAAGGCAACAATCTCCTCACCACCGCTAAACTCCTCGTTCCCGGGCCTCCCGAGCGTATGGTAGCAAAAGTAATGCAGCGCCCTCCCAACATTCGCCAACTCAGTATACCAATCGCAAATAGTCTCCTCGCCACGGTTCAAATTGGTGAACCGCCAATCCGCCGTCCAGGGCCGGTGATAGTCCACGAACTCGACCATCCCGCCGGGTGCGAGGCAGGTCTGGTTAGCCAGCTGACTGACCCCCCAGAACAGATTCGAGTACATGCTATGCGGCAGTCGCCGGGCGTTCGGGAGGTACCCGCAGCCGTAGGACACGATCTGGTGTTTCTGCTGGGAATCGCGGAGTTGCCGTGCGTAGTCCACCGCCTCGCTGATTACGGTGCCGCGCTCGGCGACTCGTGCATCGCCGGCTTGTGAGCCCGCCGGGTGGTCCCAGGGCGGCGGTAGGCGGATGGGACCCCAGGTGCTATCGGCGTAGATTCTAGCAGGGGGAGGGCGGTGGGAGGGCGGGAAGGTGCAGGCGTACCGGTTTTCGACGAATAGTGGGCCAAAGTTGTCGTGGTAGGTGTGTGTTCCCGTGAGCGTGCAATAGGAGCGCTTACCGGTGCCAGCGAGGATCACCGTGGGGAAGAAGAGGAGGCGTAGCGAGGTGAGGAGGAGGAGAAGGTTGAAGGTGGGCGTCATTGTCGCTGTTCTCGTTGTTACGGGCGAAACGGTACTACGGTGCACTACCGTGTCTCGCTAGCATAGATACCGTGCCGGTACGATGCTGAAGTATGATACTATCGGTATGCTGAAGAACCAGCGGAGGCTCGAAGCGGGGAGAAAAATTGGACGTGGGCGGAACTAGTCTTGTTTTATGTCTGATTTGATAAGGGTCGTACTTTTTTGCTTTTGCCATCTTCATCTTTTTTCTTCCACGCCAGCCTAACGTTATTCGTTGACGGGGGCAGGGAAGAACTCGCAAAAATCAAAAGTCTGCCCCTGTAGTACGAGTACAGTGCCAGTACTCGAGTATACTCATGCCCCGCCAAATTAACCGCCAGTGACAACACGGCGATTACGCTCCTGGCAGCCTTGGCGATGGGAGGATTACGTTAACTTATCATACTCGTAAGTTTCGCTGAGAGGTTATGAAACAAGGTGCGGCGAAGCGGTTGTTCGTGCCATGCATGGACAAAGGTCGGGGTCAGACTTTTGATCCAGGTGGGGGGTATACTCGAGTAGTGGAGGAGAGGGCAGGAGGCGGATTGATTGGTGACAATAAGCGCTTTGGTTCCTGCCATGATACTTGTACTTGTACTCGAGTAGTCTACCGGTACCACGGTCCGGCCCTATCGTTGCCACCGGCAAGCTATGCTGCACGAGTTGATGAATAGCGACTTCAGTACCGGTAAATTTACCGTATGCTGGAGGGCCACCACTCGTCCGTATCACACCGGCGATCCAGAGTGCTAATGGCTGTCCACATTTTAAAGCTTTCCAAGTGACACCCAGGTTGAACCACCGCACTCGAGTACTAGACGTGAGGGAGGAAGTATCTACTCAACCCGTCCGGAGAATATTCCCAAAGACATCCCAGTGGAGGCAGAAACGCCCTGGGAATCCGATAAACCGCGGAGCTCCAAGGCAGGCGGGATACGACACCACCGGTATGCAGCCCTGTAACTTACCCGTACAGTAGAGTAAGAAATACGAGTACTCGAGTATCAAGAGCGATGTGCTACGAGTTCTGTACCATTCTCCCGTTGTGATGCAGGCTCCAACGGGCTTGACGAAACCTCAAACCCCGGTGGCGGTGTTGGTGGTGATGAACAGGGATCAGTGATTGGTATGACAGAGTATTCATTCGTTACCCTACCGGTACCGGTTATACTTGGAGGAATTCACCCTTTTGGTTGCTAAACAAGTTACTTTGGCCCGTCACCCGCATGATTCCGTCGTGGCCCCCGTTGAAGAGTGTGTTGAATTGTTGAAGCACGATACCGTATGCATGTCTGCCCTCCTCCTCCAACATACCTTCGAGTGGAAGAGCTCGCTCGGTATGATACGGGCACATTTTGGGATTGTTCATGTTCGGCGCTCCGCGTGTCCGTGCGCTAGAATCTGTGAGCAGGGGATTGGACCGGATCGGTTATCCGATGGGTGGAACTACCCGCCCCGACGATTCCTTAGCGGAGGGAGCCGGGACATGTACTCGAGTACTCGTACATGAAAAGTGGGAGGGTGTGATGCTTGTCAGTCGGAAAGGGCTGTTGAAGGCAGATACCAGTTTACTCGAGTACTCGTACCGTGAGCGGATATTGGCGGGGCAGACGCTCGAAAGGTACACTCGCAGCGAGGTGGGGGCGGAGATGGGGTGGGAGATCCTATCATAGCGAGTCTACCCCAGAGTGGCCCGAACGATCAACAGGCACTCAAGCGGCTATCTCCAGCGGTGGCGACAACGCCCAGTTCCTCCACACTTTGGACGCAAGTACGGTACGGTAATTTAGTGGCACTAGGTTTAAACCGATACCCGCAAGAGATCGTGCATACCAGTTTGGTATGATATGGTGGAATATCATTAGCTGCGGGAAACCCGTTGGCTTTTCCTCCTTCATTAAGCGCTCTACGGTACTCGTACTGTTGCCTCGACGGCCCGGTTGTTTCCCCCCTCCCGGGGGGGGTGGCTGAAGCTACACTGTCGAGAGACAACCACCACAGCTACTAGAATGGGACCCCCGATATTCCCATTACTCGTAGACAGTGTTTCTTGAAAACGCAGGGGAATTGGGCACCGTCACCACTACAGAGGGATGGTTGAGCGTTGGGTTGGTACGAGCAGGCACCGCAAACAAAGTTCTCGATCCTTCACGTGCTCTAGAGCAGTATCTTTGCTTATGTGCCTCAGCACTAGCCTCCAGGGAGCGTACCGTATCCATAACTGTATAACAGTGAATCCAACTTACCTCAAACCACACCCTCCTCGTTGCTAGACCCCTTCCTGTGTTTTTCATTACAAGTATAATACTATGAAACACGATCCTCCCAAGTACTCCCGGGGCCATAACCAGCCCTATCAAGAGGATATGGAGAGCCAAGGCACAGGTGCCAAGTGGGATTTTCTCTAACCGCGTGGATCATTTATTCACTCATAGACTATCACTCGAATCGGGATTCCTCCCCCCACCTCCGGGCTCGGGAGAGTTCGGGTGAGGTCCTTTTACACCGTGTGAGTGTCTGAAAAGAAAAAAGAAAAAAAGTACCGTAGTCATCCTTAACCCGACAATGATACTGTCACGGTTACGGCGATGTTTCTTTCTTTCCTTCTTTCTTTTTCTCTGAGAGATTTTTTTTTTATTGTGGCTGGTCCTCCGGCCCCGATACTGTAGCTTCATGGGTGGTGGCTTGCCTTACCCGTAGGCACTTTGTGAACAGTTTTAAGCTCGCCAAGTTTATCATACCGTACTTGCACGAGTAGACTACTCGTACCTTGCTGGGTCCTATCCAGCTTTTTCCGTGAGACCGTGCCACGGTTTACACAGCGGGGGTAATCCCCAGAATACGAGGTGCTAGACTTATTCCTCATGAGCCCTTTACCGGATAAGGTACATAGAGCTGGGCCTACTCTTCGGATTATCATAATTTTATCATAGAAATAACAGAATGGCCCCGGTGTAAATACGCGGTCGCATTGGTTAAGCGGAGAATGTCGAGTGCCAGCGGTTTTCTGGCTTGTGGATGCATGTGGTGAGACCTTGTCCCGGACACCGCGTTATTCTGGACCTCGCTGGGCCCCCAAAACATTTTTTTTTGTGCCCAACGGAAAACCTCATCCCGCCTGATAACGCTCCCCCTTCGTCTCAACCTCCGAATCCCTCTCAACTCGTCCTTCCACCACCCTCCCTCTCTCCACGCCCCTTGCCTCATCCCCCTCTACCGACATAGTTCAGAATTGATCCATTTGCAATAATGTCGGCTGCTGTGGTTCTTGGTAGAGCTTCGTCACGCGGCGTTGCTGCTTGCTTGAAATGTGGTGGTATTAGGAGTGCTGGGTTATTGAGACTGTAAGTTGTTTTTCCCTTTTTTTTCTCCTTTTCTTTACCGCATTTTTTTGTTCCTTTCCTCTATCATCGTCTGGTTTTCCGGAACGAGAGGGAGAGTCTGTGTGAAGAATCTTGGGTGCAAAGTCCGGGTGGTTGATCCACCTGCCGAGATTTTCACTGCTGGCGACATGAGTATCAATTGAGGAATCTACAGTAGCTTACAATATTTTTCTTTCCCTCTTCTCTAGTCGGAGTCAACCCCAATTGCTTCCCTCACTGCTTTCTAGATACTATTCATCAAAACGTATTTCCCCACCTTGACCCGGCCCGGGAGGGAAAAGGTTGACGAATTTCGAGTAGAATACCCCCCTTATACCGTTGTCACCATGCCCGCTCTATCCCCCACGATGACTTCTGGGAATATTGGCCCATGGCACAAGAACGTTGGCGATGCCATTGCTCCCGGTGACGCCTTGGCTGAGATTGAGACGGATAAGGCTCAGATGGACTTAGATTACCAGGAGGATGGTATCCTAGCTAAGATCTTGAAGCCTACTGGCTCTAAGGATGTTGCAGTTGGAAATGTAGGTTCGATTATACACATTGTGCATATACTACTTACTGTGATATCTGCGGGTCGCACGATTTTCGCTCCGATTAGTTAGGTGATAATGGCGTACTGATATGGTGTTCTATAGCCGATTGCTGTTGTTGTGGAAGAGGGGGTAGATGTATCCGCCTTTGAAGATTTTACCGCCGAAAGTGCTGGAGGAGGGGCCCAGCCCCCCCCCTCCGCCCAAGGAGGGATCTCTGGGCTCTTCCACTCCTCCCGTGTCTGAGGAGCCAACTTCGAGCGGTGGCAGACTAGATACCGTCATGGAACGTGACGGAAGAATCATTGCTACCCCTCTCGCGAAAAAGATTGCATTGGAGGAGGGAATTGCGCTGAAAGGCGTAAAGGGGACCGGAGAAGGTGGTCGCATTACCAAAGCTGACGTCGAGAACCACAAACGCACCGGAGCTTCTTCTGCGTCCAGCGCGCCCGCCACTGTGAGCACCGATATCCCGTTGACATCCATGCGCAAGACAATTGCATCTCGTCTCCAGGCTTCGAAGAACACCAACCCTCACTACTACGTCTCAGCCTCCCTCTCCGTGAGCAAGCTTCTCAAGCTCCGCCAGGCTCTCAATGCCTCTGGCAAAGGAGAATACAAGCTTTCCGTCAATGACTTCCTAATTAAGGCTGTAGCGAATGCATTGCTCAAAGCTCCTACTGTCAACTCTTCTTATCGCGAAGATGAGGGTGTCATTCGTCAATTCTCCACCGCCGACATCTCTGTTGCTGTTGCTACCCCCGTTGGCCTTATGACGCCCATTGTCAAGAGTGCCGACGCCAGAGGTTTGGTTTCGATCTCTAACGAGGTCAAGTCCCTTTCTGGGAGAGCTAGGGATGGAAAGCTTAAGCCCGAGGAGTACCAAGGGGGTACTTTTACTATCTCAAACATGGGAATGAATCCTGCTGTTGAAAGGTTCACTGCCATCATCAACCCCCCACAGGCTGGCATCTTGGCTGTCGGAACCGTTAAGAAGGTTGCCATTGAGGGCCAAGATGGAGGTGTTGAGTGGGATGAGCAAATGGTTGTTACTGGATCCTTCGATCACAGGTAAGCAAGAGGATCGCCTCTCCGTATGAATTCAATGATTAATTTTTTTTTTTTTGCACAACTAGGGTCGTTGATGGTGCTGTGGCTGGAGAATTCCTCCGAGAGCTCAAGAAGCTCATTGAGAGCCCTCTGGAAATGCTCCTATAGGACACCCCCCCCCTCTTGCTCAATCCTCACCCCCCTTTCCTTCACTTCGTCAAGTAGGTTAATCTCATGAATTGGCGTGTCACGAACGATTTTGCAATAGACCAAGTAAACTAGTAACGACAACCAAAAGTATGATATATGAATGTTGACAATGGCGGGAGTGCGTTTTCTCGATATAGCTGTATAGTTCATCACGGTTTCCCTTTTTTCTTCCTTTTTTCTTTTCTTTTTTTTCTTCAGATTTTCTTGCTTTTTTTTTCCCCTTCTTTTCTTTCGCATTACCTTGTATATCATTTCGCGTTCGGTTTATGATGTGATGTGCTTTCAGCAAGCAGGACGGGAATGGCGGTACCTTTTTTCCATCTGCACGCCCGACGACAACACATTAGCTCTGCCTTTTTCGTCACGTCAAATGCTAGTGGTTAAACAGTCCGGCGAATTGATATTATCATGGGGTTTCTTGGCCCTTGAAAAAGTGACATTGGCACGGGGGAGGGTGATGTGTCCTTTACTATGTTTTGAGTTTAAGAACCATAGGGTGGTCACTTATTGCGGAGTGCAGTGAAGTGCTAGCCTCGCAACTGTTGTCCTTCACGGTGCGGCCGCCCAGAAACTTAGACTATGGCAATCCTCATACCATTTGCCTCTCCATCAGATTTAGACTGAGCTGGAGTTCGGATAGCGGAAGTAAGGTTCTGCGGCTTATGTAAATTGGTGCGAATTTCAGAAACAAAGTGCGAGCACAAGAGCAAAAGTTAGCAGAAGGTGGCCATTCAGTCTCTGTGGCACCTTAGAAAAATAAAAAATAGAATAACCTGCACGGCTGTCGAAGCTCTCTCTCTCTCTCCTCCTCCCCCCTCTTCCTCTTCCCCTTCCTTTCCCCTCTGTCCTGCATCCGCCATCCATCTTTGGTAATCTCTTCCTGGATATACAGGGTGGCCCATCCCATTCCTTCCTCATCTTCTCCCCTTTTCTTCTTATTCTTCTTCTGCTTGTTCTTCGTTATTTTCCTTCCTTTTGCCGGAGGCATTCCCTGCTTTTCGGTTTCCTCTTTCCTAGTATCCTTTACTCTTTCAACAGAGCCTCAAGACCGTACCTGGGACATTTGCGAATAATCCCGCAGTGGGATATTTCACTGTCCCATCAACTCTTCCGCCATGTAAGTTGTGCCTCTACCGGCCTTCCTAATGGATCGCCTGCGTCCGCTGACGTTCCCTAGGGCGATTCTGGTGAATTCACCCCAGATTGCTTCGGCGTCTTTCCTCAATCCATTGCCACCGCTATTCCGATTGTACACATGGCCTTTCCTTGCAACTTACCCGGCTTTTTTTTCGATTTACTTTCCTTCTGCTAGTTATGAGAAGTATCTAGGCAGCCAGGAGTGGACTGTCCTCTATTTCGGTACTATCTTGAGTGTTCAGGCGCTCATTTGGTTGGGATGTCATTGGAGTATCCGTTGGAGGGCCTGGATCACCGGAATCAAGGTATGGGGATCAACAACGGGATCGGGAGGTGGGTTACTGACGTGTGCGGCGCTGGCGTAGGTTTCCCGGGTTGAAGATGCGAAATTGATCAAGGTCATTCCAGTAGAGAACGCCGGGAGCCCGGATATTTGTGAGCTGGCTCGTGATAGAGTGAGTGCAAGTTCCTCGAAGCACATTGAGTGCGCAGCATATTTTCCGCGGCTTACTGACGTTCCCTCTAGAGCAGTGGAAGGGAGGAGATATCCTTCCTGTTTCAAAAACGTCGCTTCATCTACTCCCCCGAAACCGGCTTGTTCTCTCCCTTAGTGTACCCCGTTGACATTGAGCCCAAGCCAAGGCTCGAGACTTTCCAGAATGCCCGAGGAATCAACGAAAAGGATGTTGGCCACTTGTCTCGTCACTATGGAACCAATTCTTTTGACATTCCCGTACCCACTTTTACAGAGCTCTTTAAGGAGCATGCTGTGGCGCCATTCTTCGTCTTCCAGATTTTCTGCGTTGGTCTGTGGTGCTTGGATGAATACTGGTACTACTCGTTGTTCACGCTCTTCATGCTGATCGCTTTCGAATCTACGGTCGTCTGGCAGCGTCAGAGAACTCTGAATGAGTTTAGGGGCATGAGCATCAAGCCATATCCGATCTATGTTCATCGGAGTGGGAAGTGGAAGGAGATCCAGTCTGACCAGCTCCTCCCCGGTGATCTTGTGTCCATTGGTAGGACCAAGGAGGACTCTGGTGTCGCCTGCGACATGGTTCTTATATCTGGAACTGCAATTGTCAACGAGGCCATGCTTTCGGGAGAGTCAACTCCTTTACTAAAAGACTCTATTGCTCTTAGACCCAGCGATTCTGAGATCGAAATTGAGGGAATGGACAAGAACGCTATAGTTCACGGTGGTACCAAGGTTCTACAAATTACACACAATACTGCCAACTCCGATGATGCCCCACTCGAAAACAAGTCTGGTGTAAAGCCCCCACCAGATGGTGGCGCTCTTGCTGTTGTCACTCGCACAGGGTTTGAGACCAGTCAAGGTTCCCTGGTCCGCACTATGATTTACTCCACCGAGCGCGTCTCTGCCAACAATGCTGAAGCCCTGCTGTTTATCTTGTTCTTGCTCATGTTCGCTATTGCTGCGAGTTGGTACGTCTGGACTGAAGGCATTCAGAAGGATCGTAAGAGGAGCAAGCTTTTGTTGGACTGTGTTTTGATTATCACTTCTGTTGTTCCCCCGGAGCTTCCCATGGAATTGAGCTTGGCTGTGAATACGTCTTTGGCAGCTTTGGGTAAATACGCAATCTATTGTACCGAGCCTTTTAGAATTCCGTATGCTGGAAGGGTTGATGTTTGTTGTTTTGATAAGACTGGTACATTGACTGGTGAGGATTTGGTAGTCGAAGGTATTGCAGGTTTGAATGGTGGGAATGCCGGAGTTGAGAAGCTCAAGAAGGTTGGGAATGCCGGTGGAGAGACTACGCTGGTTCTTGCTACCGCTCATGCGCTTGTTAAGCTCGATGAGGGTGAGGTTGTTGGCGATCCTATGGAAAAAGCTACTCTCAATGCGCTCGGATGGACCCTCGGAAAGAATGATACTCTGACAAGCAAGGCCACTGGTGCAGCTCCCGGGGCCAGCTTCGCTACCCCTGCAAGTATTGTGCAGGTCAAGAGACGGTTTCAATTTTCATCGGCATTGAAGAGACAGAGCTCTGTCGCTTCGGTATTACTCAATCATCTGGGAAAGAAGAATAAGGCTACCTTCGTCGGTGTTAAGGGTGCCCCGGAAACTGTCCGCAATATGTTAGTTGAGGTGCCTGCCGATTACGAGGAAACTTTCAAATGGTTCACCCGCCGTGGGTCTCGTGTGCTCGCTCTTGGATACAAATATCTCTCTACTGATGGCGAGTGGAGCCAGAACAGACTGAACGCTTTGAAGCGAGAGGAGGTTGAGTGCAACTTGATATTCGCCGGTTTCTTGGTCTTGCAATGCCCTCTCAAGGATGATGCGAAGAAGACCGTTAGGATGTTGAACGAGAGCAGCCATCGCGTTGTTATGATTACCGGAGATAACCCCCTCACCGCAGTTCACGTTGCAAGGGAGGTTGAAATTGTCGATCGCGATGTTTTGATCTTGGACGCACCTGAGGACGATAAATCTGGAAATAGTAAGTCCGATCGCTCCCTCCCCCCAATGCCGTAAAATCTCGTGAAATCCACTATCTCTGTCAGCCCCCCAAGAATGGTTAGCTTTTTCCTGATATAGTAGGGGATCGGCCGGCCAGGTGTGTTGGATCCCGCTGACCGGTATTCGCAATTCTGTTAATCTGCCAAACCAAGCCCATAGATAGTGGATCTCACGTGATTTTACGGTATTTTGAACGAGTACTAATTTGAGTTTAGATTTGGTGTGGAGATCCGTCGATGAAAATATTATTATTCCGGTTAATCCCAGCGATCCGATCGACAAGGAGATTATTGCAACTCGAGATATCTGTGTGACTGGTTATGCTTTATCTAAGATGCAAGACCAACCCGGCGTTATAGATTTGCTAAGGCATACCTGGGTTTACGCTCGTGTCTCCCCTCTTCAAAAAGTACGTCGCTATTCTTAAGGGTATCTTTATGCTGAGATCGTACTAAGTGGCTACTCGCAGGAATTCATTCTCAATGGATTAAAGTCCGCAGGCTACACGACATTGATGTGCGGAGACGGCACAAATGACGTTGGAGCGTTGAAACAAGCACACATTGGTGTTGCCCTCCTAAATGGATCAGAGGAGGACCTCCGACGCATCTCGGATCATTACCGTACCACCAAATTCAAGGAGATGTACGAGAAGCAAGTGCAATTGACCAAGAGGTTCAATCAGATTCCACCGCCCCCCCCAGTCCATATTGCTCATCTGTACCCTCCCGGACCTGGAAACCCGAACTACGAAAAGGCTGTCGAGAATGAGGCTGCTAAGCGGGGTGTTACCAAGGAGAGCATACTGGCTAAACGTGAAGCGGAAATTCCAACAATTGTCACACCGGGTGCCCGCGCTCTACAAAACTCCAAACCTACCAAGGAGCAACAGGGTGCGCAACAGGCTGCCAAGTTCGCGGATAAGATGATGGCGCAAATGATGGAGGCTGAGGAGGACTCTGAGCCACCGACAATTAAACTTGGGGATGCCTCAGTTGCTGCTCCATTCACCAGTAAATTGGCCAACGTTATTGCCATCGCCAACATTATCAGGCAAGGGAGATGTACGCTCGTGGCTACTATTCAAATGTATAAGATTCTGGCACTGAACTGCCTGATCTCGGCCTATTCTCTCAGTGTGCTCTATCTCGACGGCATCAAGTTTGGGGATGGACAGGTTACTATCAGTGGCATGTTGATGAGCGTTTGTTTCCTGAGTTTGAGCCGAGCAAAACCCGTCGGGAAGCTCAGCAAGGAGCGCCCCCAGCCAAATATCTTCAATTTCTATATCATCGGAAGTGTTTTGGGACAGTTTGCCGTGCACATCGTTACTTTGATTTACATCTCGAGATATGTGGCCCGGGTTGAACCGTAAGTTTAATCTCCCCGGTCGGCCACCATGGACCCTAAGACTAACTGTGGCAAATAGGAGAGACGAAAACGTGGATCTCGAAGGGGAGTTCACACCCAGCCTCCTCAACTCCGCAATCTACCTCCTCCAACTGATCCAGCAAATCTCCACCTTCGCCATCAACTACCAAGGCCGGCCATTCCGCGAATCCATCAAGGAGAACAAGGGAATGTACTGGGGTCTCGTCTGCGTGGCCGGAGTCGCCTTCTCCTGCGCGACGGAACTCGTGCCCGAGCTCAACGAGAAGCTAAGACTTGTCCCCTTCTCAACCGGGTTCAAATTGACCATGACCAGCGTCATGGTACTGGACTTTGGGGTCTGCTGGATCATAGAGAAGTGTCTGAAGTTCCTGTTCAGCGATTACAAACCCAAGGATATTGCTGTTAGGCGGCCGGACCAGGACGCTATCGAGTCGGAAAGACGAGAGAAGGAGCTCGCGGAGGAGTTGGTTGCTCCGGCCAAGGGCGTCGGGAGGTAGACTTGTGGAGAATGGGTTTAAGTTCTTTCCTAGACTCTGCCTGCATTTGTTGAGAGTCATATAATTAGAGATATTGTCAACGAACAGGGGGTTTCGTTTTGGTTTTTTTTCATGTTTTTTTTTTCCCGACTGTTTCCCAATGCTTTCACCCTTGTAACATTAGTTTACAGGTTATGACTGTGTAAATAATTATCCGTCAAGTTAGCTGTGAGTGGGAGTGATCTCGTGTTTCGAAGTCTGTCCAGGCTGGTGTGGCTTTTGTGATAGTTTTGTTTGGAAATAGTAATG